TAAAAATATATATTTTATCTTATTTTTTTTAAAGAGTGTTTACCTTTCCCTTTCTTGGGTTACACCTTTCTTTGTTTTCAGGATGATAGCTACACAAAACTTTCCTAATAAGCTGGTGGTATTTTTTTAACTTATTTCAGCTACATCTATATTGATTTTTAATTTTTTTTTCAGCCAGGGACATGGCTTCTCCAAAATAGAAATTGCATATTTTTCTGTAGTCAAGCCTGCCCCAAACAAGCTGCTTATGCTGTGTATGGGAGCATAAATATCAGTTTGAATCTGACAAAAGTGACCTCAGCAGCAATATTGTGCTCGTTGCTTTACCTGTCGTTCTTCCAAGCGCCATTCCTCTCCCACGTTCACACACTTCTAGTAAAGGAAGCATCATTCTGCGTCAGTAGTGCATAACTTCACAGGGATGATCTAAGGGCTGGAGCACCTCTGCTATGGAGACAGGCTGAGAGAGTTGGGCTGGTTCAGCCTGGAGAAGAGAAGGCTGCGGGGAGACCTTAGAGCCCCTTCCAGTCCCTGCAGGGGCTCCAGGAAAGCTGGAGAGGGGCTGGTGCCAAGGGCAGGGAGTGACAGGCCAAGGGGAATGGCCTGAAGCTGCAGGAGGGGAGATGGAGATGGGATGGGAGGCAGAAATCCTTCCCTGGGAGGGTGCTGAGGCCCTGGCAGAGGGTGCCCAGAGAAGCTGTGGCTGCCCCTGGCTCCCTGGCAGTGGTCAAGGCCAGGGTGGATGGGGCTTTGGGCAACCTGGGCTAGTGGAGGGTGTCCCTGCCCATGGCAGGGGTGGCACTGGGTGGTCGGGGAGGTCCCTGCCCACCCAAACCAGCCTGGGATTCTATGAATTTCTTAGGTAAATCTTTGGACAGTTGAAGTTTCTTTTGCGCCAGCAGCTTTCTTCATAGTGAGAAGAGGGACCATTTGTGACAATGGATTTGAGGTATCACGGCTGGCTATACTGTCCTGCTCAGTATGGTGATTCCTGTCTCTTCTTTCTTGCCCATAAACAGGTTATTCCTCTGAGACCTGACCCATTCCCTGCTAGCTACAGGCTAAATCCACCACCTTCTGCTCCAGACTAGTTCTTGCTCTCCTCCCGGTTCAAGGGAAAGGAAAATATTTTGGTTCTGGAGAAAAATATGGAAAATAACATTAATAATTTTAATGGTATGTCTGCCTTTGGTGGTATGTTGCATTTGTGACTCATAAAATGTTCTTAAAGATAATTACCCTTTAAAATGCTGCTTCACACGAAGGGGATAAACTGTTGCAAATTACTACATTCAACAGGACATGGTAATTCTCAACTATCTATCCAGACAGCCTAATCATTCTCAAGTAGGATGGGAATTTTCTTCTGTGAGAGCTAAAGAAGAGCTCCTGGTACATTGCAATTACTCGGTAGTATGCAGCTGAGCTTTCTACAAAATACTGTAAAAAGCTAGAGCTTTTTAGGATGTTAATGACATGTGCATATCTGGTGATATTTTACATTTCCTAAGTGAGTCTGTCCACTGGAATGGAAACTTCCTTCCTTTGCTCTGATACTAGCTATAGTGGTCTAAGCTATACGTTGAACTATACTAATGTATATGTTGTTGTTCATTTTTTATTTCTGTTAATCTAGTCAATGTATTTTTGAATTTTTTGGGGATCTTTTTCTTAAGTTTGCTTTTAGTTTTGAGAATTCTTCTTCATCCACACAGTGAGTTTTAGTAGTCCCTGAATTGTGGCTTTGTGTAAAAATGAAGCACTTCGTAATCTGCAGAATCGATGGTATCCTATTCAGCTGTAATGATTCCAGATGAGTACAGATACATGCCGCTTTCCCTGGGCAGCCTGCCTGTATTTTAGCAAACTCTTATTTCAGAGTGCTCTACAGAATTCTCCGTGACAGCTCTTTTTCCTTCTGTTATGAATGGAGTCTTGAATTTGTAGTTTGTGAACACTGAAAATATAAGGGGGGGGGGGTTGTCTTGGTTTTGCTAACCCCTAAGTCTGAAATTGTATTTTACTTATATGCTGGCAGCAGTCGTATTTGTTTGGATCCCTGTTTCTTCCCATTTTAGTTAGGCTTCGCGTGATGTGACATGTTAGTTCTGTCAGAGCTTATGGCGTGGTTCCTCATCTGAGTAGAACAGCAATGGGGAGGGTTAAAAGTGTTAAAATGGGGAAGTGAAAACTTGCAGAGTAGTTTGCTTTAAGGTAGTTTTCCTTCAGTGTGAGATCTGCTTCAGTTTCCCTCCCTCTGTAACAGCAACTAGGTTGTATGGCTGAAAAAGACTTTGAACGCAGACTTCAGCTTCCTCCTTTAGCCAGAGATATCCACGTATTTGGGTCAGATGGTCCGACCTTTCCCCGCATTGTAAGAAATTATTGTTTCTGGTGAAGGGAGCAGTTGAGCAACCTGTAACTTAGGCATTAACTGGCTGCCCACTGGACCATATTGCTCATCTGCTTTACCAACCAAGGGGACTCCCTTCCATTCCCCTCTCTCAGGGAGATCTGGTGTGCTTTCTCACGTACAGAGTCCACTTTCTTGACAGCCAAAAATACCTCTTCTGCTCAGAAACAGGAACTTAATGCCTCTGTTATTGCACCCAGAGCTTTGGGAAGTATCTCTTACCGAATTTTGCCAGCTGCTGGAGGCCTTCATGCCTGTATAGTGTTGCACCGTGTATTACTTGGGCAGATGGTACCTCAGGATGCTCTTGTCTTTGTCAAAAGGAGTTGTCCTCTGGAGCTGTAACGCAGAACTGAAGTTGTCTGTTGTTCTCGCCGTTTCCCTGGACATGCCTGGACGGCAACAATTCATCGCTGGAGCTGTTAGGGAAAGTTCTGGTGTGCTGTCTGGACAGTCACCTTCAAGAGCAAGAGGAAACCCAAACTAGATCTGTTTGTCTACAAAGTTTTTTGCTGGTGCCCGCTTTTTAGAATCACAGAATCGTTTAGGTTGGAAAAGACCTTTAAGATCATCAAGTCCAACTGTTAACCTTGCACTGCCAAGCCCACCACTAACCCATGTCCCCAAGCACCACATCTACATGTCTTTTAAATCCCTCCAGGGATGGTGACCCCACCACTTCCCTGGGCAGCCTGTCCCAGTGCTTTTCCTGTCTAACAGCTTGCTGTTTGAAAATGCATTCTTGGTTCCTTGGTAGGCCATCTTTTTGCTTCTTGGTTATGAAGGTACATCTTAAGTGAGGCAGTAGAAATCACTTTGGACTGACCAAAGGCATTATGTTTTGGTTACAACTGTGGATTCTTTCTGGCCTTTCCTTTCCACCTTCTCCAGACAGCACTTTGCAGAACTCCAGGCTAATCCAAGATTGGCATATTCTGTCTTGGTGTGTGGGTGCTGGATATTAACCTAATACTTAAGTGTCCTTATCAACCAGAGGAGAGGCTGTGAGATGCTTTGCTGACAACTGTTCTTAACTTTCCTTTCCTTCAGGTCTCTCTTTTTTCCCCCTGTACTGGGTCCTTGAACTGTGTACAGGACTGTAACATCTCCTAGACTTGAGTCAAAAATAATTTAGTAGCCATATTGATCTTCTGGGGTTTTTTTAACTATGACCTTAAAAAAATTCAGTGTTAGTTTTTTCCAGCTTTGAAAGACTTACTCTGAACAGTACTTGAACCCAGTACTCTGACCTCTCAGGGGTCTGTTTATGAGTCTCTAATAAACATTGTCACACCATCCCGCGGAGACAGTCTCTGGCAAGTGTAACTTGAGAGGATTGAGATACAGGCTGATTCCTCTTACCTGGTATTAATTCAGAATAGGGTGTTGGCTGCAGATTCATCCCAAATCCTGTCTGCAGAGTGATTGTCAATTTAATTATATTTCTCCAAGCTTCACACAGCTGGACCAAAAGCAATCACGTTCTTAACACACTCTTAGCACTGATTCTTTGGATGTTCCTTTGCTATTCATGCTGATGGCTGTTTTCAGGGATTTGGCATTTTTTTTGGATAGCAGTGGTATCGAGGCTTGCTGTCAGATTGCCAAAAATGACTCCATTTTCTCGTCATCACTGCAGCATACTCGCTGAGAGCCAAGCAGCACCAGGGCCTCGTCTTCAGTAAGCTGCCATCTGAGCACCTATTTTGGTTTTAACCTAGCCTTGGTGCTCGCTGGTGCCCTACACTTCCCATTTGCAGTTATGAGTCTAAATAAAACTCCTAAGCTTGTTTTTTCTTTCCCTGCTCCTGGGGGATTTCCATAGTACTGTTGTTTCTGTCCTCTTATTCATCTGCATGTCCTTAATAGAGGAGATGGATTCAAAAAATGACTAACAAAAAGTTTTGTCATAACAAATTAATGTTGATTTCCAGTACGTAAAGAGTAGCTTTACTATTTTGTTGCAGTTTGTTCCCCAAAGGACTCTGAGACACACGTTTCAAAATTCAAGCCATATGCTTTCCCTGTTTGCTACACTGTCTTCAAGGCCTATAGTTATTTGATATATGTATATCTCTTTATTTATATCTATCTATCTATATCTTTGTTTATTTGATGTCTTCCCTCAAAACCATTGTTTAAGAGGTAGATTTATCCACAATTATAACACATACAACACTGAGTTGATACTTGTTTCTGACATCAGATTCTCTATAACTGGTTTTGTTTGTGGCACAGAGAAGGTATTTTTTCTTTTGACTGATATCATACAAAGTTGTTTTTATTATGTGTATCCTTTTTCTTGCAGTAGGTAACATTTTCCTGTTATTGTTTTTCCCCCCATAGGCCAAAAGCAAATACACTGTCATGAGAACTGGTCTCTGTCGCCTGAGGAGTTTGAAATATGGGACAGGCTTTACAGGATTAAGGAAAGTGATGGAGTAAAGGAACCGATATTGCCTCAAACTCAGTTTGAAACCTTAGAAAACCTGGAAGAAATATCAGTGAGTTTAACCTAAATGTAATGTTTCCTTTGACATGAGGCCTAAAGGATACTCTAAGTAACAAAGTTAACTATGAATTTGAAGGAGGTCTGTATTAAAAATGCAATTTTGGGAATTATATGTAGGTTTTTAAAGGTAAAGAATTTAGGAATTAGATATTTGAAACGGATCTTTGAGGTTAGATCTGTAAATTAAAAAAAACATTTAAAAGTTTCTCAATATCCATTAAGTTCTGTTCCTGTTTCTAAGAATTCCACGCGGGATGCCATATTCATGATGGTATTGTACCCGTGCTATTTCATTCCCTTGTTTATATAAGTGTAACTGGAAGAAAACCTCAAGTTTTACAAGCCCTTTTCTGATTCAGAGAAAAAAATTGGAGCTTTTGTGCCATTTCACCACTTAAAACAACCTGTCTTCCGTGAAAATCTGTGACAACACAAAGCATGGAATTGTTTTTATTTTAGACCAGACTTAAACTTTTGTGATAATGTTTAGATACTTTTCTGCATTCAGAGTATTTATTGTCCCTGACAGAGAAGTGGACGTTAGTTTTGCTAAACAATGTCTTGATTAAAATCTCCTTACCAATCTTAATTTCAACTTGCAGAAGCATGAAGAGGAGGCAACTCACGAACTTTCCTTGTCTGAATGGAGAATTTGGCAGAATCGTCCTTTTCCTACATCTATGGTTGATCACTCAGATCGTTGTTACCATTTTATCAGTGTTATGGAAATGATAGAACTGATGAGGCATGAACGGGTAAGGTGATTACGTTTGCCTGGCTGTAAGCATGCACGAGTATTTAATGCACAATTAGAATATTTAAAAAATAATGAGTGCTTTAGTTCTGTCTGATCAGTTGAAACAAACAGTGGGGAAGTGGTTGCATGAGGCTAAGTTAGGCATTGTGAAATGGATAACGTGTATTTCATTTTCTTTCAAAAGGTCACTCACTGGTGTTCTGTAATTCTTAATTCTTCTAGAATCGTAGAATGGTTTGGGTTGGAAGGGACCTTAAAGATCATCTAGTTCCAACCCCCCTGCTGCGGGCTGGGACACCCTCCACTAGACCATGTTGCCCAAAGGCTCATTTTTCCACAGAAGGTTCCTACACAGAAAAACTTCCACCCATAAATCATTCTTTTTTAATGGATCCAAGAATCAATTTTGTACAGAAAGACATTAAATACAAGAACTGTGTGTCTCAAGGAGCAAAGTCACCAAGAGTGATATTAGAACTATTCCAGAGTGTAATAGGAATTGGAAATAATTTTGTATCGTGTATGTACATCAAATGTGTCCGATAAAAATGATGCAGGAATGTATTGCGTGTTTTAAGGTGGTTGTGTTTTGAGGCTTTTTAGTTTGTTTTCTGTGATAGCTTTAATTAGAAACTTAATTACTCCTAAGAATTAAAGGATAAGAGGAGGACAGTCAGACAAACATGGATGAAAACCATTTGGGAGATGAGAAGTTTGTTTGCTAGCAGCTATGGATAGCAGATATGCCTTCATAATGAAAGGCACATACAAGAAAATGGGTGTAGAGGTGCATCTGTTGACAGCACCTGAAGACTTCAGTTGTTCACCACGTTATTTTTTCCTCTGGTTTAGCTCTTCCATGTTTCACACATACTGCTTTTTAGTGTGTTGAAGTTTTCTAGGTCATCAGAATGTGTTGCTAAGCTGCCAGAGTTTCCTGAATAACTAGACTAATCAAGGAAGAGAATAGAGACATTGTAGTTGTATTCCTTGCTAGAAAAGTGTGTTAATGGAAAGTTGTAAATAGACTTTCAGAGTTAAGATAAGCTTCTCCGCTTCATCACAGAACAATGGCATTTTTGACTTCTTTGAGAGTCTGTGTTCCCAAGCTAGGGCCAAGAACACGCTGCCAGAGAGAGAGAACTTTGGGCAGAGTTCAGGTATAGAGAGCTGAAGGAAGGCAAGAGGCAAAGAAATGGTTAAAATAGTTAGAATTACTCTTCTAACTGAGGACTTCCCTCCTCACCACCAAATCAGGCACTTGAGGTATTTGCGACTTTAGTTCCTCTTGTGGAAGTGTGTTGATACTAGAAATCTGTTCAGATTCCCAAGTGCCTTCAAAGTTGTAGATGCTAAACCAACATCTGGCACCCCTAAAATAACTTAGGGAGCAAATTTGCAAGTCACCAAGTGAGTCTTCAGTCTTCTGCCCCAAACTCTGCCAAATAGGTGCCACAAATTATAAGCAAAGCAGAGTATCAAATGCTTGCTTTTACAGAACTTGTACAGAGATAGGTCTGCCTACTGTCCCTCAGGGGAATGAGACAGCCCAGCTCCCCTACCTCTGCTCTCTACTGTGCAGTGAACAGAGAGGACGTCCCTTCAACAGGCAGGACCCAGAACTAGGGCTTGTTATATCGTGGTTGTCATGGCACGTTTTGCTCAGCTCTGATGATGGTCACCCAGGAGACGCAGTGCCTGTGGTGCTGTATTCTCTGCTCAGAAACGATCCTGCCATGTGCCATTGTAGCACACAAATTCCCTCCCCATGTTCTTCAGACAGAGTCTGCAAACAGAGTCTTGGAAAATTGCTGGAAGATTTGCCTCGGAAAGGCCAGGATACAGCTATTCATTGATAACAAGTGATAACAGTTGACTTTCACTATTTCTAGTTTGACAGCTCAATGTCAGCTTAGTTGTGATATGTTGTAGGTAATGCTCTCGCAGTCAAAGACTGGGGCTGCCTGTTATCTTGTTCAGCTGCCTCCCAGCTGAAAGTTTCAGGCATTATCTGGATTGATTTCCAGCCAGCTTTCTCTGATCTGTCTTAACTAGTCAGAGGTGGAGATGCTGAACTTTCTCATCAGTTAGAGGACAAATTATAGTCGGATGTCACTGGTGTGCTGAAACCACCTTCTAATGACTCCACTGCGTGTGAGAGGTTACAACACAACACATCACTCCACCCTGTTGAACTCTTCCAGGGAAAAAAACAGTGCACTAGCAGTAACTCTGACCGTGTCTGACAAGGTTGACAAGGCAGAAGCTGTAATTGACACTGACACTCAGTTTTTAAACTTCAGTGCTTTTTTTGCCTCTTTCTTATATCTAAACCAAATTGTCAAGGTTCAAGGACATCAGAGCTTCACCATAATTGTCTCACGAAAAACAAAGAGGCAATGTGTCTTAATCTATTTGGTCAGCACTGACAGTGATTCTTGTATGCGAGTTTTATTTATGTTTTCTTAAGTCCTTGAGTTCTCTGACAGGTACCGATAGTCTTCCCAAGACAGGATACATTCCCACTGCAGTTCACCCAAGGGGAGGGAAGTGAATGATGTATGTTATCTTTACAGTGGAGCAGTCACTGCGCCGTGGCAGTCCTTACTCATCAGGTGGATTACACCAGCAAAAATGTGTTGCCCTGTGATTGGGAAGAGAACAAACTTCCATATTGCTAATGTGAGAGCATGTGTGAGTGTGGGGGAGGTGGTTTTGTTTTCCTGTTAACTACCAATCTTGTCCTAATTCAGTCTTCCTACAACTTCCTTTCTGGTGAATCAGAAAACGCATGCAGAGAAAAAAGGATATAATTATATGGTAAATCAGACTGAAGAACCTTTCAGTATAAAATATTTCTTTAAATACCTGGTATAAACCATTTCTGTTGGTGAATGCTGCTTTGAGGGCCATCACTATAACATAGCGCAGTTCAGTTTGGACCTGGGGAGCTCGCTGGTCCGATCCAGGGCCTGCGTAGATCAGTGGCTCGGGGCCTTGGCAAGTCAGGCCTTTGGGATCTCCAGGGTTGGACTGCCACAGCTTCTCTGGGCTCCTCATTCAGCATTTGATCACCCTCATGGTGAAAAAATTTCTCCTAATATCTAATTGAAATTTCCTTTGTTCCACGTTGTGCCCATGAACTCTGGCTTCAGTGTACCTCCAGAAAGCCCGGCTCTCTCTCCTCTCTGCTCCTACATCAGACAAAGATGGCAGGAAGATCCCCCTCTTCTTGCGACTGAACAGAGTTCGCTTGTCTTCCCTTGTACATCCCTGTGCTCCAGCCCTGTGACAGTTTTGGCTGCCTCTGCCGGACTTGATCTAGTCCAAAATATTTCTTGTACTGGGGGCCCAAAAGTAGACTGAGCACTCCAAGGGTGGTCTCACAGGTCATGGGGAGGAGAACAGTCACTTCCCTTGCCTGGCTGGCTACTGCCTTGCTAATGGCGCCTGGGTGCGATCGTCTTTGTTGCCACAAGGGCACACTGCTGTCTCATTTTTCTGTCCTGAGGTTTCTGCCATCCTGATGAGGACCCTCTGGACAGCAGCCCTGTCCTCAGGCATGTCACCTGCTTCCCCTCACCTGCTGTCATCTGCCAGCTCACTGCAGGTGCACGCTGTACTCTAGTCAAGGTTGGTAATAAAAACGTTAAACACTGAAAACCTCTGACAAACACTCCTAGCAGCTAGCCACTGGCTAGACTTCATACCAGTCCTCAAAACGCTTTAATCATGGTGGTCTAGCCAATTTTCCACTTACTCGAACTGTATCTCACAAGTTTAGCTATGAGATTGTCAGAAGCCCTGCTGAAGCCAAGGTACTCAACACCCCTTGCACTGCTCTTGCCCACAAAGCGGGTTACATTGTCATAAAAGGCTGTTTTGGATTCTTCATCCCCAGGCATTCTGTTTGCCTCTTGGGATAGTCTCTGGAAAGCTTGAATGTTTCCTTACTAGCCTGATTCAAAGTTTGTACTTTAAACTTAAAATTGGAATAAATATAACATTCATGTAGTATTCTCATTTCACACATTTAGATTTTCCTTTATGATATAGTATTCCCAACACTATTGCATATAAAATTGTTCCCATCAGGCTCTTTCGAAAATTAAGCAAGCTTTTCCAAAAACTGATTATGCTGCGTTGCCCATAGCCAGACCTACAGGAAAGCATAGGTGGTTTGCTTTGGCAGTAACTACTACACTAATTTTTTTTCATATTGTAGAGTGCTTGCTGTTAGAAGTAAATATTAATTAAAAAAAACACAAAAGTAGAACAAAATTAAAGAAACCTAGAGATGTATAGGCAATGTTTTGAATTTCTGCATACCTACTAAGGCATAGGTGGGTATGTCTTGCCTGTATCCTTGACTGATGCTGTGTGGGTACGATTAGCAGTGCGGGCAGAATTCCACCGCCTGACAGAACTGCCTGTGTTTGCAAGTGCAGGGCTGTACAACATCAGGCCCGTGTCTTTTTCTGCCACTGTGTTTTCATGAGCGCTTCAGTGTGAGATTGGGAAAACCAGGAGGTTTGAAATCACACTTTCCTGCCAAACTGGAATTTAACCCTGCATAGCGTCCTGCTCTGTTTCAGAGTGAGACCCCAGGAGGCACTGTGCGTGCCCACGGCACAGGCAGCTCAGGGCCAAGACTGCCGCTGCCTCCTGCGTTAGCTTCATGTGCTGCGGCCAGATTAACATATCCCCAGATGCATTACGCGTTCTCAATATACAGCGCACAGGCTGGGATAGTCTTAACTCAGTAATTGTTTTAGCAGTGATTCAGAGGTTTTGCAAGTATGTACTGTGCATCCAAGTTCCTACTATAAATATTCTATAGCCAAATATACCCCTGCTAATCTGTCTGACGTTCATTTACAGTTCTTAATAGCAAAGGGATTTAAGACAAATACGAGTCAAAGCTATTTCCTTAAATAAATAAGATATTGAACTTCAAACCACAGTTCTATTGATTATTTTCTTACTGAGAGATAGAAT